GGCTCGGGTTTGCTATTATGATCATACATTCCTGTAATATTTAGTCCATAATATAATGTAAATTATGTGTAAAATTTGTGAATAAGTAAATAAAAATAAAATAGTTAAAATTTGAGGTAAATTAATTAAATTAAGGTTTAAGGGTTTAATTGAAGGAATGTTCAGAAATAAGAGATTTTTATCAAATTTAAAAGGCTTAAATGAATACATCTATAAAAATGGAGTCAAAAGCATAATTAAATAAGAGTGGAAGGGGGAAAATAATAAATCAAGATATGGACGGTCAAGATCGCACTGTCTGAGGCCGACCCAATGGCTCTTGATCAAAGACGATCAAGTGGCCCAAATTCAATATGAAAAGATCAAACAGCTCGGAAACAACCTATTTAAAGAAACCCATTTAGGGTTTCTCTTCCATTCAAACCAAAGAAGCTAAAAATGAGAGAGGGAGAGAGCTAAGCTTGAGTGGGTGAGCCGAGAGGAGGTTGAGTAGAGTGAGAGTCGAGCAAAAAAGAGAAGGAGAGGAGAGGAAGTGGGTGGCCGGAGAAGAAGAAAAGAAAAAGAGAGAGCTGAAATCATGAGAAAGAAAGACAGAAAACATAAGAGAGAGAAGGGTCACGAGCTAGAGAGGGAAAAAAAAGGAAAGAGATGAGCAGCCAAAGAAGAAGAAGAAGGAAGCACCGAAGATGCTGAAGGCTAGCCGAAGAAAGGGGAATGAGAGTCATGATTAGGAGACGTCGCGATATCCGTGGGCTCCGAGGCTGAAGCACACTCGACACCGACAATTTTCAAAGCAAAAGCGTACACCCCGCCGCGCAGGCCGTGAAGTTCTTCTTGGGGAAACTAGAAAATCATTTCCAGAGGCAGAAAGTTACCAACCGAAGATGTTTGAGTCTCACAGCATTTGATCTATGATAGTTGTTTACCTATTTTGTTATTTTGACAATTGTGGACTTACATGACTATGATGTTAGCTGACATGAAAAGAACAAAAAATATGAGAATCATGATTAAATAAAATAAGACTACCAATTGAAAATAATTATGTTGAGGAAATCAATAAGGCAAATTAGCGGGATAAAAGAGATATTCAAGTGAGAAAATAGTAAACTACAATAAACAAATAAATAAATATTTAAGAAATAACTAAATTG